TCGATTTAAATATAAACCGGACGTAGTCTCATCCGGTTTAAGGGTAATACGATTGATGTGTTAGCCGGTTTATGTGTTGCGCGATTTTTGAACTTTGAATTTCTATTAAGTGCTTTAACGGAGAAGTAGGAATACGCTGAAAGGGTGATCGGTTTATATATAAATCGGACAAGGCTTTGGAAGCTGTCTAGATTGATAAATCGGACAAGGCTGAGAAAGCTGTCCGGATTAATAAATCAGACAAGAGAGACATGTTTTATCCGGATTAGTAAATCGGACAACTTAAATAGTGTTGTCCGGATTGGTTAACCGGCCAAAGCTTGACCGGATATGAAGTCCGGCCAAGTCTGTGTTGACCGGATTTGTACATTGACTTAAGTATTATTTATACAAATTGTCATCTTCAATAAACTTGTATAAAGAATGGGAATTTTGATAAAAATGATTATGAACTAATGATATTCCATTTAAACATTTATGACTGCGGTCTGTTCTAATTGGAATTGTTTTGTAAAAAGTTATGATGAGGAAATAAGGGTGGCATATCAAGGAGAGGTGTACCATGGGATAAGGGTGACATATCAAGGAGAGGTGTACCATGGGATAAGGGTGRCATATCAAGGAGAGGTGTACCATGGGATAAGGGTGRCATATCAAGGAGAGGTGTACCATGGGATAAGGGTGGCATATCAAGGAGAGGTGTACCTTTGGATATAAGGGTGGCATTTGTATGTGTGATGTATAATATAACTCTTACTATTACATCTTTTAAGATTACTGTGATTTGGAATCTTTATTTCTTTGTGATTGAAGGATTTGGAATCAAAATTCTTATTGGAAATCATAGTCTGGATGTTATTAGGGAGAAAATAACAGGTTTGGTCTGAAGCTTTAAATAAACCTTGTGTTAAATTGAAAAGGTTTAAAAATAGCATTATGATAAACCTGTTTGGGTTTTAGATATGTTAACTGAAAGCTGAGAGTTTGGCTTGAAAAGTGGAAAGGTACTAGTAATTATGTTCTTAGTTGTTCATATATTTGTTATATATATGAATAGTTGTTTTACATAAAGTTTTGGTGATTTTCACCCTGCAATGACATAAAAAGGGATCTCACTAGACCTTTCGGTCTAACCCTCGTTTTGTGATTTTAAATATGTATTGCAGGAAGTGCAGACGGTAAGGGAAAAGGGAAAATGTGATAATTCCCTATATGCATATCTACATGAAGATTCGATTATGCTATGTATAGTTTTGTTAGAAGAATGTGAAATAGTACAAGAACTGTATTTTGAATTTTTGGACCATGTATTTTGTACTTGTATATTCTTGTACTGAGGGACCAATGTGATGTATAAACATGTATTCCTTGTGTATGAGGTATGTGTTACATGCAATATGTGGCATGGGGTGTTACAATTGTTGTACTAAATTGTTTTGCAGATCATCCATCATCTCAGGATAAAGGCAAGGGGAAGATGTAAGGAAGAAATATTTGGAAGAAAGTTTTATTATGACATAATTTTTGTTAACCCATACTGTTAATTTGTCGTATGTAAATGAACCTGGATTTTTTGTATAATATTGGTACATGAAGTGTGGCGATGTATGATATTTTGATTATTAGTACTGTTTAGTGCATGGTGGGTTGTTTCAAGAGGTATGTTCACAACTTCTATTTAGACAATAACACCAAGTTTAGTTCCTAAGTATGAGGTAAATGTCAAAAACTTAGATAGGCAGAAGATGAAATGTGCAAAGGAAGAATTTTTCCTCCGCGTCGTCTTGTTTGTTTGACCCATATAATCCCCTTACCAACACTAACACTTAATTATAAGTCTATTAGAATGAAAATAAAGCTAAATTAAGCTAAAATAAGGGTACAAATAGGATAGCGAGATTAAAAAAATATAAGTAATCATGGTATAATTCTAAGTGTAAAATACTTTTGATAGGAAATCTATTTAGCAAGGGATGGAAACAAAAGTATACGAGCATTATGCTTTGACTATCTTGGCTATAAAAAGATATGAATTTATTATTAACTTGAAATGGGAGTGACCTATTGTTAAGGGTCAATCCATTCGAATTTGATTCACATAATGGTAAATTTGAGCTACGAAAAGACCTCAATGATGTTGATTCTTGGATTTTCATTGTGTCGTTTCTTTGTTGTATTTCATTTTGTTTCCCATTAATAGTACGACCTAGGAGTGTTCCGAAGTCTGTTGCCCCTAATAAGGACTTTTGACCTGGTTCTTGTGTTTTACTCTGAATGATGAGGCACAAATGAAATGTGATGCAAATGGTTTGTTGACTCGATCCAAGGATTGAGAGATGATGGAATTGGGAATGACACGACTAGATAGAGTCAAGTCATACAAACTTGTTCATTGATCGTTGATCTATTTTTGTGATTATCTTAGATGACATAAGTTGTGATTCTTTATCTAGACACTTTGTTAGGGGGTACTAACCTTGTGATGTTTCCATGGTAGTTATAATCACTATGGCGTCCTCATGTATGCATGGAGAGTGCATTCGCCCTGATCTGACCATTGGGGCGGATGGATATCCTAGGAATGGAATAGAACTAGGTGTCGTCCTCGTAATGCTAGTTCTCACTTGTGCCCATAGGACCGTACATCCTTTGTGAACAACAGGTTTAGCTTATTCAGGTGATTTATGTGAACCTGAATTACACGAAACACAGAATGGGGTGAATATGTGAACCCCCTTGTTATATCTTTGTCATATTCAATTGATTTGTTTTATTATTTCATGGTTATATGGATAATTTGTTCTTATCATATATTGTTTATTGTTAATTTTGTTGACTGTTCACTGAGTTATTGCTCAGCCACATTTTTTGTTCTGTGGTAGGTTCTAGAGACATGATGGGGAATTATCCGGGTTGAGAGACTAAGAGTGAATTTTGGAGGCTAACTTTAAAGACAACCTCACTTTTGTATAGTTACTTTTGAGATTGTATCTACATGTATCCTAACATGTTGTATATAATTGTGACTATTTTGTTATAAAACTTACTTAGTTGCTCTGCATACTTTTAACCCAGTATGGTTAGAACGGGATGTTACATTAAACCTGAAGTTGAAATATGGAGAACCGTACTCGAAAATGAAGACAAACATGATTTCATTATAGTCTCTTCACTTATGAGCTTTGATTTAAGGTGGATTGTCATATGATGCATCCAGAGAACATAATTATTAACATCGAAAACAACTGATACATGTCGGTTGTGGGTTGTAACATTGTTTGACATTTTTGAAGATAATATCAAAGAAGGGCCTAGGATATTTCTAATCAGAACCAACCAAGGAGTTGGTCAGGTTAATGAAATGTAGAGACAAAAGATCATACGAGACCAGAGGATGGTTTGAGTCCTGTCAATAAAAATGATCATCAAAAAGGAGATAACAATAACGAATCATTGATTAAGCAAGAACATAAGATTTAGGTTGTGAATGACGAATGTGGTAGAAATAAGAACATAGATAGAAGGACAAACCTTATCTCTAATACCATGCTAAGATTAGAACCAACTTCGATTTATCCAATAATGATAAAGGAGATGAAGCTCGGAGCCAACGATTGTTATGCTATATTGATCTCTTAAATGTTAAATAGACAAGAAGAAACCAAAGCTACATATACATAGAAGTTATACTGAAAGGACAAAACAAATCTTGAACAATTGGGAAAAGACAAAGAGGAACAAACACTATATAATTCTAACAGTAAGGTGTCATTTGTTTTTTAAGAGGTGTTGAAGTCAAAAGTCTTATTTCACTTCTGATTGATAAGAAGTGGTGCTGAAGTCTGAAATTTGAATCAATAAGACTATTTGTTTATTAAAACTGATAAATGTACGAATTTGAATAGATTGTATTGGGATAAGGTTAAGGAATTAGAAAATCAAAGATCACATAAAACTAAAAGTTTGAATATTAAAACTAGTGCTTACATGCATAAGTTTGACCAATAAAACCATTTAGGAGGTGTTTGTCATGTGGTGGTGCATAATTAAAGCCTTATTAATATATTACTATAATATTGATGTTGTATTGAAAACTGCTATCAAAAACTTCAAAGGAATAGGGCTATGATTAGACAAATAGTAAGGCTATATTGCAACTTCTTTGTGCTTATATGGCGGGCTATGAATTGTAGCACGAGTTGGTCAAATCTATTTTATTGTAGTCTTTTCGGTTAAATCATAACATTGAAAATGTAAAAATAATGAGCTTTATGTTTATGTAATCATATAACTGGGTTTTATATTCTAAATACCATGTATTTCGATTTATAAAACATAATTACTCATTGAACCCTAGGATTGGAGGGTAAAGCATGGTGAAGCTTGGACTAGACTTATGACCTGCCTTATAAAAGCTCATGCTAGAGGTTAACTCACCTAAAAGTCCAACTTTCGTTAGCTTGTACAAGTTTGTAGTTCTTATGCGGGTAGGTAACCTCGAGTTTCGACTATGACTTACGCATAATAAGATCAACTCGATCAACGTCATTTCAAACAATACCAAACTCTATTCAGCTCATATAGTCAAGCCATTTGATTTGATTTAACACAAACTCGATAAACAACAACAAAATCAGGGAAAGGCTAGCAAATTTGTTTGCCCTATTCTAAATTTTCTAGTTAATAGATGTACCAAACATTTTGATGTCTTTCTAGAAGAAATTAAATTGAAATCAACTTGTAAATTTCGTCTATTTTTCTAATAATATTTGTTACAAATATTAATAATTTTTGTGTTGAGTCAAACATATAATTAATTTGATTTCAACATCAAAATACCTCATCTAATTAATACAAATTAAATAGGATTTTCTAAAATAAAATAAAATAAAGTATTTGACATGTAAAATCAAGAATTGGTTTTTATGTGGTGAGGGGTAAAGATTCTTCGTCTCTTCTTGTTCTTCTCCCRTTTCCATTATTAGTTTTCCTTTATTTTCTTTGAGTTGCAAAAATATATACATACATACATACGCGTATCAGTCTTCAGATATTCTAAATCCCTTATCTGTCTCTAGATCCAAAATCCATCTTCATTTTCATCTCTACAAGCCTACTTGAACAAAAACCCAAGAGGGTTCCTTTGATCTATACATATATACACTCACATAATCCCTTTCCACATAGTTCTTGTGGAATAGTCATCATCGATCTCTTGTTACTATAGATCCATTCATTGATTTCATCGGCTCAAATCTTTATCTTTTTTGCCGACAAGATCTTACACGCTATAATTCATTCATACGACTAACCCAGACGAAGAAATTTTTGAATTTTGCTGTATAACCGTTGTACCCTTTCCTCGCCCAAATTCTGGGGGTTTTATCTTCTTGATTGACTTCGTTGGCCGTAGATTTGAAGAGTTTTTGGCAAATCCATTTTGGGTTTATGACAGTGAGATCTAAAAGCTTTGGTTCTTGTTGATCTGTGATCTACTAAGTTTTCATCTTACTGGGTTCGTCTTTTGGGTATTGTTTAGTTGCTTGTGAGGCGTTTGATGCTTTGCCGCTGTGATGCAACCTGATCAGAGAAGAAAGGTAACTTTATCCAACTTAATACAAAAAAGGATTTCATTTTCTGTTTGTTAATGTTATAGAATGATACTATCTTTTTACTGGTAAAACAAGGATTTGGGAAATTGCATCTTCATCTGATAGAACTTTTGATAGAAATCTGCCTATACATCTTTCAATATTTTGCTGTTGGTGACAAGGGTTAGTTCATGTATTGATGGTTCTAGCTAATATTGTGATTTCATCAGTTTTATAGCCAAATGCTCATGTAACCTAAACTATGATTTGCATTTCAAAGCTGCTTAAAAAATCATTTGTGTTGAAATCAGAGCTGTGTTTTATATGCCTCCATATATATACTGACAAATTGATAGACATGTAGGTTTTTATGAGTTTGGATTTTGTACCTGATGATAACAAATTGATGAATATGTAAGCTGGCTATCTGTTCTTTTAGCTGATTTCAGGTCTTTTTTCTATTCTATCTCTTGGTTCCAGATGTCTTTTTAGAGAAACCAACTGCAACTAGTGTTAAACATCTTCTTGCTTATATCAACTTATGTTTCATTACCAAGTAAGCCAAATGTTCAAACACCTTCATTCTAGCCAAGGAATTGATATATGTAAACTTGGGAACTTGGATGGCAAATGTTATCTGTCTGAATGCTTTTGGACAAATAGACACAAAAATTATAACGGAACATCTTCAGTCATTGTTTGCAATATCTTTTAGACCATACTGCTACATTGCGTTATAAGGCATTCTCATGTATCATAATATATATGGTAAAGAAGGAAGTAGGGAAGAAAACAAACTGGTACATTGCGTGTTAGACCAGCAAATGGTTTGTATGGTTTTTTTTTTTTGCCAATATTTTAAAACCATTTGATTACATGCTTYTCCTAMATTTTRATGACATGGGATTTTKTRCTTWKATGTTTCAGGGATCTGCRGAAGTAGATTTTTTCACCGAATATGGTGAAGGGAGTAGGTATAAAATAGAGGAAGTAATTGGTAAAGGAAGCTATGGTGTTGTCTGCTCTGCATACGATACCCATCTTGGTGAAAAAGTAGCAATAAAAAAGATAAATGACATATTCGAACATGTTTCTGATGCCACACGCATCCTCCGTGAGATTAAGCTTCTTAGGCTTCTTCGTCATCCTGACATTGTGGAAATCAAACACATCTTATTACCGCCTTCAAGACGAGAATTCAGAGATATATATGTGGTGTTTGAGCTTATGGAATCTGATCTGCACCAGGTTATTAAGGCAAATGACGACTTAACACCGGAACATTATCAGTTCTTTCTTTATCAACTTCTTCGTGGATTGAAATATATACACACAGGTTATACATCACTTTGAATATGTGTTTTAATTGGTTTATGGGTTATCATATTTATGTCTGTTCTGATTTTGAATTACTTTGGCAGCAAATGTCTTTCACAGAGATCTAAAACCCAAAAATATCTTGGCAAATGCTGATTGCAAACTAAAGATCTGTGACTTTGGTCTTGCAAGAGTGGCCTTCAATGATACACCTACTGCAATATTCTGGACAGTATGTCCCTAACTCCCATTACTGTGATCTAAAAAGTTTATCATTGACGAATGTATTTCTTAACTGGTTATTCGATGTAATTACAGGATTATGTTGCAACAAGATGGTATAGGGCTCCAGAATTGTGTGGCTCATTTTTCTCTAAGGTAAAACAACAGCTATAATTCCTTGGATTTAGCAGCAAAAGTTTTATTTCGATCAAATAATAAACTCTTGTATTAACTTAACCTTTTCTCTGCAGTATACACCAGCTATAGACACGTGGAGTATTGGGTGTATTTTTGCAGAACTTTTAACTGGAAAGCCCCTTTTCCCTGGGAAGAATGTGGTGCATCAGTTGGACCTGATGACTGATCTTCTGGGGACGCCATCACCTGAAGCTATAGCCAGGGTCTGTTTAACTTACTATTTAGGAATCGGTATATTTTATTTTCTTTCATTCTTTTTTTTGCATATTAATGTGGATATAATCCAAGCAGATAAGAAATGAGAAGGCGAGGAGATACTTAAGCAGCATGAGGAAGAAAAAGCCTATTCCTTTCTCTCAGAAGTTCCCAAATGCAGATCCCCTTGCTCTTCGTTTATTAGAAAGAATGCTTGCATTTGAGCCTAAGGATCGTCCTACTGCAGAGGAGGTGATATTTTATTTTTATTTACATTTTTCCTGCTGTGAAAGATTTCACTCTTGTTAAAAAAATGCTTATTGTGTTAGGCGCTTTCGGATCCATATTTCAAGAATTTGGCTAAGGTTGAGCGGGAGCCTTCTGCTCAGCCTGTTACAAAGATGGAATTTGAGTTTGAAAGAAGACGAATTACAAAAGAAGATGTACGCGAACTGATCTATAGGGAGATTCTTGAATACCATCCCAATATGCTGAAAGAGTTCTTGGATGGAGCTGAACCAACTGGCTTCATGTATCCAAGGTACAGTTATTTGAAACTATGACATCATTCTCTTTGTAATATATTGCTGTGAGAATCCGTTCCTGAATTGCATCTTTGTTAAAGTTCAGTACACTGATTTGGCTTTTCTATTCGTTTTTTCTTCCTTATTTTCCAGTGCTGTTGATCAATTCAAGAAGCAGTTTGCTCATCTTGAGGAGCATTATGGCAAGGGTACATCAGCTGCACCTCTAGAGAGGCAACAATCTTCATCATTGCCAAGGTAATATATATATAATCATGTTCATGCTTTCCAAACGCTTGGTTAATATATAATCATCTGGTTTGCTTGCTTAACTTTTGAATGCAGGGCTTGTGTATTATATCCAAAAGAGACCGCACAAACAACAGTAGACGTTACAAATGGTCTCTCCAAATGTTCAATTAAAGAAGTTGGGAAGCAATACATGACTTCTGCAATGCCAATGACCAGACTTCCTCTACAAGTTCCTCAGAGCATCCAAGGTTTGAATAAACTCATGCACCACCCTTAACTTTTTGTTAACTCTTCACAGACACACACACACACACACATATAATCATATATAGATTGATCGTTGTCCTTGTGTGTGCATCTTAAAATCTATCTTTGTCATGTGTGCGTGATTGTGACCTTTGTTCCCAATTAGTGGCACCCTTTGCATTTAACAAAATTTTAACAAAATTATAATTATTATTTATCATCCTATGATTTTTAAAAGTAAAAAGTACCAATAATCATCATGATATTTACCGCTGCACCACTCATCATGTAAAAGAAATTGCAGCATAAATGATCATACCCTCATAATGTCACCGAACTTTCAACATCTAGAAATACCATTTTGTCTAAATTAAAGCAATATTATTCCGTCCCCCTAATTGGTTTTATGTATATATCTATATAAAATGCCGTTATCTTTTTATAAACACCTTTGCCTTTGTCTTATATGTGATATACTATATACATTCATATGTACACATTTATAATGATTGGTAAACCATCAACTACCAGCATTTTTAGATTTGCGAGTTGGGGGTCTTCTCTATAACAAGCCTGTCTAACCTGATGAAAGGTGTATGTACACACATCTTACCCCTAATTCCTACGTTCTGGTGGATATATTGTGTTTGTTTGCTTTTGGCAATGTGAATTAAAGGTTCCTTCATTTCTTTACCTATTGGCACATAAAAGGTGTATTTGGTGCGCGGGGCATGGCAAAATAAAACTTGTCCCGAAAATTAAATTGTGAGTGGACAGGACGTGGTCAAAAATGCATTTTTTTTCTGGCCAACCATAATAGGTCGAACAGAATCACGGAGACAGACAAGTTGGTAAATTACTGAACGACCCATGTCAAATTAAAATCCTAAAACCTTCCACAATTCTTTCATCCCCTACCTCACTCTTGTCCATCCCATCCCATCCCATCTCATACGATCCTCTGCATATCGAACACACCCAAAGATATGATGTCTGAAGAATTGATGAAATCATGATTGACCGATAGATCATATTTCGTTAGTCATGCAATTGAAACTATAAACTTAATGTCCTTTAGGACCCCCAAAATTTATTGAATTGATTAAGCTAGATATTTATTAACCGATAAATTGATTATATTAATTACAACTTTATAGATAAATTTATAATCAAGTAACTATTTATTTAAATGAAGTACCCAATTTACAAGGCACCCTTCATTGTTAAATGTACTCCTTTATGGACATTAAGTCAATTAATTTATCATGTAATCTATAAGGAATATTAACTTATACATGGGGTCTATATGAGTAATCAAAAATGTCTTATCTTAGCGAACTATTAATTTTGGCATGTTATCCCTGACCAAAAATATCATCTGTTGAGTATTTTTTCTAATGGACTATGTAGATAGAATTTCAAAATTGACACCTTGATCTCCTTTAAGTAAACTAGTTTATATACAAATTTTCTTCATCAACAGGGGGGAGTGCTGCAAGGCCTGGTAAAGTTGTTGGTTCCGTTATGCGTTATACCAACTGCGGACCAGCTGCAGGAACCGGGGATGCTTTTGAACAAAGAAGGACAAGTAATAGGAGTAATCCAGTAGCCGCTCCAACCCAATTCCCGCTTCCCGCTTCTTCATACCCACGAAGGTCCAATAACTCAGCTGCCTGCAAAAACGACAAGATAGAAGTCACCATAGAAGCTTCTGGAAACGGGCTGCAGGCAAGACCACCATACGTTCCAAGAAAAGTCGCTGCTGCTCAAGGTGGACCCGGCAGTCAATGGTATTGACTTTCTTAACGCATCTTCCTTTGGCCTGATAAGCGAAATGACTATACTACTCCTTGTGGATGGAAATGGCAAGTTTTGTTGATGGTATATCCATCCTGATTAGCATTTGATGGAAGATGTTGGGAAGAGATTACATGCTTAAAAAGAGTATTAAGCAGCTAACATCTTTTACGTTACAAATAATGACCCCCTTGATTCACTAGCTTCTTACTCCATGTAAAAATAACTATCGTTCGTTCCAAGACCAGACTAGCATTTGCGTCAATTGTATCCTTGTAATACGTACTTGTTTAAAGAACGTGAATATGCTGTTTTCTTAGTTGCATTTGTTTCATCCTCGTACTTCAATTGTGTTTTGGTTCTTACCGAAAATGGTAACTAGCTAATGAAGAAGGTGATGGGTAATCGTGACCGTTGCTCGATGGGCTATATATGAATTAGATTTGTGATCTTTGTATATGTTTGTTGGAAAATAGTCATTGTACTCGTGAAAAGCTCTAGAGAGTGTGCATTTTCATTTGTTCTTTTATTCCAAGTTCACAGATGATGAAGGGTGTAAACGGCCAGGCATCGTTATGGTCATTGGCGGTCGTAAGTGGTTGTAAGCGGTTAACGCTGGTCGTGGTCCTGGTCGCTTATAACCGGTTATGGATGGAAAATCTAGGCTTAATACATAAACGATTGATGCGTATATTATTGGAAAATTTACACACTTCTCCTTTTAAATAAAAATTAGAATATCCATTTTTTACCTCAAAAAATTTAAGATATAATTAATATTCTTTTATTTTAAATAATTATATAAGAAAATGAGAATTGTATTATCTATAATTTAAGATCATGTTTAAAATTTGGATATCTATGTTTAACTTTTCGTATGATCTTTTTCCACAGAAAGGAAAAAAGTTCAATTACAAACTGATTTTTTGCTATGAACCAAGGGACAAAAGAGAGCATAACACGTGTCCTTGACGTTCACGTTCGGTAGAATAACAAGGGTATTCAGTATGAATAATGAAAGTGAAGTTCTTGAACTATTCATGATGAATGATACGACATTCATGATGAATAACATACAACCATGATTCATGTTAAATTGATTATTCACCATGAATAACCCGTGGGACACGTATCGCTCTCTCTTTTATCTCCATATTTTCACTCTTTGTATTACCAAAATTAACATCACTTTTGTGAATATGCCGTAAACAATGGGTATAACAGTGGGTATCACCATGTTACAATGAGTATCACAACATTGGTCTTGCGAACACGTTGTAAACAATGTGTATCACAGTGGGTATCATAACATGTATAAAATGGTGTGCATATTGTATATGTGTTAGGTATCATAGTGAAGATCATTTTTATAACAATGGCGATAATATTTAGGTATCGCTTTGTGTATCTTGTGTTCACACGGTGTTCGCTGGAATAAGATTCGTCGGAATAGGTTTGTCGAAGAGAGTAGAGAGGAGATTTCTAAAATACTTAATATACTCTTTAACTAAAATTGAAGTCAAAACTACCAAAGTTATTAATTTTTTTAATTTATCCTTTGATTTGTTGTTGAGATTGAATCTCACGGTTATCACAAATTATTAAGTTCTCCATTTAAATGACCCTATATATAGATATATATATATATATAGAGAGAGAGAGAGAGAGAGAGAATTCAATTGCAAACCGATTTTCGGTTGTGAATCGGGGGACAAAGGAGAGCCATCATGTGTCCCAGACGTCCACACTCAGTATGAATAATGAAGGTGAAGTTCATGACCTATTCATGATGAATGATACAATATTCATGATGAATAACACACAATCATAATTCATTTTAAATTGATTTATTATTCATAATGAATAATACTCATTCATCATTATTTATTATGAATAACTCGTGGACACAGGGAACACGTGTCATGCTCTTCTTTGTCGTCCGGTTCACAACGGGAATTCATGTTTCATTTGAAACCGTCTCTCTCTCTATATATATATATATATATATATATAAAGAGAGAGAGAGATTTATGAGATCCAATAAAACCCACTGCACCCCCTCTCCCAAGGGCCTTCGTTTTTACTATAATATACACATCAAGCAAATCCAGTGTACCTCCTCCCTCAAAAATCAGTCATTCATAAGTAACACCCTGACCGGATAATATCAATTACTATCAAGCCTAGATTTTTCTATCCATAGCCGGTTATAGCTGACCAGTGTTAACCGTTTACAACACTCGCGGTTAACTGCTTACGACCGCCAGTGACATAGCCACGCCTGGTCATAACTGGTCGCTTACACATTATCTGTAAACTTGGAATACAAAACAAATGATAATGCAAACTCTCTTGAGCTTTCACAAGTACAATGATTATTTTCCAACTAACATATATAAAGATCGCAAATCTAATTCATATATAGCCCATCGAGCAACTGTCACAGATTATCCGTCACCTTCTGATCACTAGGTAGTTACTATTTTCGGTAAGAACCAAAACACAATTAAGTATGAGAATGAAACAAATGCAACAAACTAAGAAAGCAGCATATTCACGTTCTTTAAACAAGGATACAATCGACGCGAATGCTAGTCTGGTATTGAAACGAGCAGTAGTTATTTTTACATGGAGTAAGAAGTTAGTGAATCAAGGGGGATATTATTTGTAATGTAAAAGCTGTTAGCTGCTTAATACGTACTCTTTTTAAGCTTGTAATCTCTTCCCAACAAACACTAATCAGGTCGGATATACCATCAACAAAACTTGCCATTTCCGTCCACAAGCCAACAAGGAGAAGCATAGTCATTTCACTTACCGGACCAAAAGAAGACGCGTCAGGGAAAGTCAATACCATTCATTGACTACTCTGATAAGCTACAGAGTTTGATAAGCTAATGAGCAGCAACGACTCTTCTTGGAACGTATGGCCAGAAGTTTCTATGGTGACTTCTGTCTTGTCGTTTTTACAGGCAGCTGAGTTATTGGGCGGGCCTTCGTGGGTATGAAGAAGCTGAGTTATTCAGGTTTCTAAGGTGTTCATTTTGAATATCTACATACTCCATTATTTAATAGATGATATTTTTTATTACTCATATAAAGTAAACCCCATGTAATATATATATATATATATATATATATATATATGATCTACCGCTCAACCATGATTTCATCTATTCCTAGATATATCATATCTTTGGACTTTGGGTGTGTTCGTTATGCAGAGGACCGTATGGTATGGTATGGTATGGATAAGAGTGAGGTAGGGGATGAAATAATTATGTATCTAAAACAAAAGCAAAGGGGTTTGTTTATAAGAAGATAATGGCATTTTACATAGATATATACATAAAACCAATTAGGGGAATGGAACAATATTGCTTTTGGACAAAATGATGTGTTTCTAGATGTTGAAAGTTCAGTGACATTATGATCAATGGTGCAGCTGTAAATATGATGATGATTTTGGTACTTTTACTTTTTAAAATTATAATTTTGTCAAATGCAAAATTGGCACTCATTCAAAGTCAAAGGGTGCTACTAATTCACGCACACATGACAAAGATAGATTTTAAGATGCACACACAAAGGACTACCCAACCAATATGCATAGCGAGAGGTTTATTTGAAAAGTATTGAATGTGTGAGAAGTAGAGAAATGATCTTATCTTTTCTTTTAATCAACGTTTATGGTTTTGACTTTAAAGCACCGGATAATTCGGTCGCATGGTATGCAGAAGATCTAGTTTCGTAACTTTACAAATAGGCGACAAACAAATGCATATGTGAACCCGTATGATTCATATATGAACTATCTGTGCATATGTGAACCCGTATGATTCACATATGAACTATTTAATTAATCACACTAGTTCATATGTGAATCACACAGGTTTACATATGCACAGTTAATTCATTCGTGAATCACACGGGTTCACATATGCATAGGAAGTTTATGTGTGAATCATACGAGTTCAAATATGTACTTGTTTTCCATCTATTTGTAAACGTTACGCAACTACCTCTCTATTTTTTGTGTAGTTGTTTACCTTGCCGCAAATCTTGATCATATGAAGGGCTAGGACCACTTCTCTACTTCTCACACATTTAGCGCTTCTCAAATAAACCTATGGCTATATATATGTGTGTGTGAAAAGAATTAAGAAAAAGTTAAGGGTGGTGCATGAGTTTATTCAAACCTATGCTCTGAGGAACTTGTAGAGGACGTCTGGTCATTGGCATTGCAGAGTCAGGTATCCTTTCCCAACATCTATAATTGAACATTTGGAGAGACCATCTGTAACTTCTACTGTAGTTTGTGAAGTCTCTTTTGGGTATAATACACAAGCCCTGCATTCGAATGTTAAACAAGCAAACCAGATGATTATATGTTAACCACACATTTGGAAAGAATGAACATGATTATATATATATATAACCTTCGCAATGATGAAGATTGTTGCCTCTCTAGAGGCGAATCTGATGTTTGCCATAATGCTCCTCAAGATGATCAAACTACTTCTAGAATTGATCAACAACATTGGAAAATAAGAAGAAAATACAAATAAAAAAGCCAAATTAGTCTACATAACTTTAACAAAGTTGCAATTAAAGAACGGCTTCTCACAACAGTATATTACAAAGAGAATGATGTCATAGTTTCAGATAACTGTACCTTGGATGCATGAAGCCAGTTGATTCAGCTCCATCCCAGAATTCTTTCAGCATATTGGGATGGTATTCAAGAATCTCCCAATAGATCAGTCCGCGTACATCTTCTTTCGTAATCCGTCTTCTTTCAAAAACAAATTCCATCTTTGTAACAGGCTGAGCAGAAGGCTCCTGCTCAACATTAGCCAAATTCTTGAAATATGAACCCGAAAACGCCTAATACAAGAAGCAAAATATGCTTTTTTTTAACAAGAGTGAAACCTTTCACAGCAGGAAAATGTAAAAAAAATAAAACATCGCCTCCTCTGCAGTAGGACGATCCTTAGGCTCAAATGCAAGCATTCTTTCTAATAAACGAAGAGCAAGGGGATCTGCATTTGGGAACTTATGAGAGAAAGGAATAGGCTTTTTCTTCCTCAGGATGCTTAAGTATCTCCTCACCTTCTCATTTCTTATCTACTTGTGATATATCTACGTTAATATGAAAAGATAGAAAGAAAATAAACTATACTGATTCTAAAATGGTAAGTTAAACAGACCATGGCTATAGCTTCAGGTGATGGCATCCCCAGAAGATCAATCAGCAGGTCCACTTGATGCACCACATTCTTCCCAGGGAAAAGCTGCGTTCCAGTTAAATGTTTTGCAAAAATACACCCAATA